CCTGCCTGTTAACGTCTATGAGGACCCAGATGTTCCAAAAACTCCAAGAAAGACATCAAGCAACTCGGCGACCGAGTCTGAGTTATATACCCAACACAGAAATTAGTTATTGGACTTCACCTACTTCTACATACCAGGGCTAGCTCAGGACTCCCTGAGCTTCAAATTCATGACCGGCCTGATTTTGCAGGTTAAGCAGTGGAAAGGAAGTTGACCACTAAGAAGTCGAAATACGGTCTGAAAATCGCGCATTAGGAGTTTTGAGCTTGCAAGCGTCTGTGGGGACCTTTCCCTTCCCCATATAACAATACCCAAAAGCTTATCTGGCCAGGAGGACGACGTGCAAATGCCTGTATTCCTTCAAATATCAGTAATTGAGTGGTCGCTGAATACGGGAAAATAAACGGCCGGAAAGGGAGAAAATCACGGGAAGAATAATGTGCTGCTTTACCCGACGCGTCATTTTCGTCCACCCTGCCAATACGTCTCGAAAATGGGTCATGCTTGGGAAAAGTAGAAAACTGAATGATTAACCTCCCAAGCTACTCGCACAGGACTCACGAAAAATCTACTTGGAATAATTACCACCAGAGCATCCCTGGGAAGGCGGGAACAAAAGAATGAAAACGATATTTCAGCTCAAAAAAAAAATTTCATGCGGAAAATCGTGGAATTCTGATATTGAGGAGGCTGCTTCGTGGTGAGCTAAAGAAATTCCTGCTCCCGTGATAGAGGAAGCTATGAAAGCAGTATAGGACAAAAAAAAACGAAGAGATGCGCATGGATATGGTAGCGGTCAAAATTACAGACCTCACCTGGTTATATGCGAAGGTGGGATCCAAAATATCATTTGAAAAAGTCTGAATAAGCATTAAAGGTGCACTGACGGCTCAGTCAGCCACAGCCCAAATCTGGTCTAATACGGCTTGACTGCCATAGATATGCTTGCCAACTACAACCAATGGATGGCGCCCTCAAAGCTCCTCCAGCCATTGATCAATCTTGATGGAAAAAAAGGTTTCCCTCTTGTTTGCTTTTGTTGGAAACGGAGCCTTGAAATGAAGTGATGCAAAAACTTGGGGAACATTACTGATGGATTTCACATGGTTGGATTTATTGGAGCCAAATCCCGATATCTCCCATTTTTCGAATATTACTTTGTCGAGAGCCATCGCCTTCTCTTAGCAACCTATTCGGATGAAAAACCAATAAAAACTGGTTCTAAAAAAACTTTTTAAATTGAGGTTTTCTTGCTCTCACTCTTCATCGTAAATAGAAGATTTTTAGAATAACTTAAACTATCAAAATAACTGGACTGTTGGATACAACAGAATTTCTGAAGAGTTATCCGGTAAGAAGGAGGTTGGGAAACGAAAAGATGTGTTGGTACTCCCTCTCTCTACGGCTCGAGATCAGACTTTTCAAAGTTTTGTGCAGGTTTACCAATGGGAACGCCGTATTGGGGGATTGCTCGACAGCGAATCCATCCCGGAGACTATATACGCTGATGTCTACCATCGAGAAGATCCCATAAACCGTGGTTTAGATCAACTGGGTGTTTCGAGCCATGTCCAACCCGTGGAGAACGTATACGCTGCTCATCCTAGAGCTGGGTTGCTCGACACTGAAACCACTGATGTCTCAGTGATTCCCAAGGTATTCCATCGAATTTAAACCGCTGAATGAACGTGACACTTACTTGTGGAGCAAATTTTGAATTCTCCGAGTTGGGTCTAACTCGATGACTGAAATCTTGCACCGCTCTGAGTTCCCCTGTACCAGTCGACATCCCCTTCGGATCTCCTACTGTTATTCGAGGTCCCTGACAGATGTCACCCACTCGTTGACAAAAGATCTACGCTCCGCATGGATGTATACTGAGTGAGTAATGGTGACTAATGGCAAGTTCCGGCTCCAAATATCCATCCGCATGTGTATGTATAGTCGCCTAAGTGTTGACCGTAACCTACAAATTACCCAGGACAAAGGAGTTAGTCATGCTTACCTGAATAATAGTTAGGACTGTTGTTCATCAGAATTACTCATCATTTACCGAATTCAATACAATTTTTATTTCCTCAAAAACTACCGCTCACTTACTGAAACGGAGGTGGGGAACGACCGGACGGTACCAGTACCCAAAATATGGCCATCTTCATCGAAGTCGCTGAGAATAACAAGCTAGTGACACTATAGTTTCCATATATAGTAGAAGTTTCGAGACTGTTTATATACTCATTTATTTACTCGCTTGTGACGCTTTATTACAACAAAATTCTAAATTAAGCTAGACATTTCCAAAAGAAAAGGAAACAAAGGAAACTCGTTCATTTAGGAAAGAATTCGTGCACCAACCCAATCGATTCACGCTTATATTTCACAGTTTCAGTAAAGTACCACAGATATACGTAAAAGGTAGGTAACCTGATCTTTGCAGGTAAAATTCATTGAGACGTACCTGTAAGTTGAAGCAGCAGTCTTTGTTCAGATCACCGCAGCATTTGTAGTAATGGAAGACTGATGAATCGGGACATCTGGTACCAACGATGGGAACTGGACAGAACAGATCTCCGTCCTGAAATCAAGGAGGTGACTTGATGAAAAAACGAAAAACCTTCACTCCGTTTTATCGCTTCCGGTACTCCAACCTACGGGTGAGACCAAAGGGTCAGTGAGAAGTGTACGCTTAAGTGACTCTGTCTAGGGCCACTTAACCCTGACTTCACCACTGACTTCGGTCTGACGTGGAGGTCGCGAGCATTGAAGCGCCTTTTAACGGATGGTCCCCACACTCATACTTGAGCTCGTATTGACTTCTGTACGTAATGATCCCACATGGATCCAAAAACAGACCAACATAAAATAAATGATAAGCTTGAATACTCAAAAGGCGATCCCTTGAAAAATAATAAACTTGATTTCAAAAAATAAAAACTGCTCTTTATGTATGTTTTAATGTCGAATCTTATTGGAGAGTATTGAAGAGTTCCCTGACCCTTTTATTCGTGTTCCCTCACCCAGCAGCATACAACCCAGGAGATTTTAGCGATTATTCTAATTTTGCGCTGCGATATGGTCGATCTATGCAGGAGCCCCGAAGATCATATCCTACCGACTTCTGTGCCTGTTGAGGGTAGACATGTATGGGCCTTTCACTCTTGACGGCTGCTGGGAGCATTCTTCTAGTGAAATGGGATTACCGACATAGCACTGCATTGTGAGCTTGGAGGAATAACAGCATGGCAAGGAAGGTAATTAACCAGTAACCAAGGAAAGCTGAATCGTTTCCTTTAGGAAATAAAACTTTGATAAGTCTGTGGCCCAGGCTTGCTGTGACATCTGCTCCGGGATCAAAATTCACCAAAATTTAACTCTCTATCTCCCTTATTCGGTAAAACAAACATTCAAGAGTTGAACAATAGGCATTCTTACCCTCCGAAAAATTGTGTTGAACATATGCGCATTCAAGTGCCTTTGTGACTTTGAATGACATTCGAATGCATGGTGGATTTTGAAAAGAATAACCTGTGATACAATCCATTATTCTTACTTTTTCAGCCTCGAACCTTTCGAAGACACTCCAGCTGAGGGCCTATATTGAAAACCGGCCAACATGGTTTAATGGTGTTCACGATATGCTTGAAAAAGTGAAGTGGCCAATAAAATGGTCTTAATTATGCCGGGAAATGGCTATATTTTGGCAGAAATTCCCATTCTCGATGCCGAGGGACTTTTCAAGAATATCCGAACCCCACACGGGTGGTATTGATCAAACCGCATTGTGAAGATATTGATTAGAATTAAACGATGAAGACAACCCTTATGAAGCCTATTGTTCTGTTAGTTCGATGGAAAACCCCTCACACATTCTACCCTTACCTCCCCTTTTCAGCCTCATCCCAGATGAGAGTTATCGGGCTTTGGAATCGGCTCCGAAGGCTAATGATCCTGACAGCGCGTGCGATGCCGCCGCCGCCAACGCCATCTCGGCGGCCGTGACCAACGACCGAACTAACAGCTCATGTGATGGCTGCGGCGAGATGGAATCATCTCCGGCCATAGGACATCCCATGGGAGACGATTTAGGAGCATCTTAACGCAACCAACATATAAATGTGCAATATCCTGAGAAGCTATCAAGTGGATTTTCTCCTGGGACAATTCGAAGCAGAAGCCCTGTTAAAGCATTCATAAGATTATGAACGATAGATAATTCTGATTTCATGATTGTTATAACATAATGGCTCATAAACTGATTTTTCTTTCGATCACTCAGCTCCTGGACTATGAAGGAATAACGGACCCTACAAGACCGATCAAGCCCATCGCAGGATCCACCAGGAGTTCGACTGCCATTCAGAACTGAATGACGATGCGATGCGATGAGTGACAGGAGCCATTCGGTGAATCATGTCATTGATTTTACCCTCCTACACGAATGTGGTAACGATTTATTGCAACCGGAAGAGTACAAGGCATGGACGGCCCAGATGGGATCCGACCCGGAAGCTGATCGGCGCTCTCTGCGTGTAGCAGCACCCACTTGTCGCTACTCCACTTCCGCTCAGCAGAAATTGCAGTGGCGAATGAAAAGGAAAAGGATTCAAACTACTATAGCAAGTCTAAGAGTATTACGTAAGAAGCTCTCAATGATGAGCAGTCCCATTCTGAAATGCGCCACGCCATCTGACTCCCACCCAGAATTCGCGAAGTGTTTGAATGGCTATTCGAACTGCACAGCTGATGTATGGTCGATATTGCTTGTAAACTCTCAAATCAGGTTGATAGCCTAGCCGGGCGGGATCGGATCCCGCGGCTGTAAACTTTGATATTGATTGGATCACTATAGTAGTTTCCGATCAGACCCACAGTAGAAGTGTAACCCGCTGATCTTGTAAACTAGAATAAAATAAACTGATCAACTTGTGAAGGAGAACTGAAAGTAGAATTCGAAGACGCTGCAGTTGGCGCTAATAGAAGTTTAACGCCTTCGCAGAAAATTGGAACCAAAAAGGGACTTTGCAAGCCCGAGTTTTGGGAGAACTCTTTTTCTTTACCATTCTTTGAACAGTAATATCCAATTCCCGCGTTGGGTCTTCTCCTAAGTAGTTAGTCTCCAAGGGTTTCCTATCCCGTGCTTACATGGAACTTGACCAAAATGCTCACCTTGGTGGTGGTGACTTCATTGACGGCGTTTTTCGTCTCCTGTTGAATATCAGCGGCGAAAGCGAGTCCGACAACGGCAGCGACGCAGAAGTGGGCGAACATTCTGTAAATGAAATGCTAACAAAACAAAGTACGTACAAGGGCAAATACACTATAAATGGTCAATTCATACTAGACAAAATGTCAACATAACAGAACGAATCTGGATTCAGAAATAGCGAGAAAAAGAAAATGTCGAACACAGTAGGCGACTATAACAAGCTCACAGTCCGGAAAGAAGATGTAGGGAAGTGATTAAGAAGGAGTTGAAGAACTAGGTGTTAAGCCAGGATTCAATAGAGACACTGAAAAAGCTACTTCCACCGGCTTTCAGGCTCTGAGGAAAGGCTCAAAACAGCATAAAAGACAAGTCTAGCTATGCCGAGATTAAAAGAAAGTCGAACATGGTATATGCTACTTCCACCGTTCGAGTGCCGGAGGTGACCGTCAACTTTGTACGACGACCTTTGCCCCTTTACTGTTCAAATTCATGTTTATAGTTTCTATCAAGGGCTACTCATCAGAGAACGATTCGCTCACCAAATTGACGATTGTAAACGGACTCATTCCTGGAACGGTATAAAAATCATAGGGATTCCTATTACATCGGTGAAGCCACCACTTCGGTGAGGGGGAAGTGGCTTACCCACCAGGAAGCATACATTCTTCTCCTTTAACGTGGCTAGCAGGGTTCACCAAACCCAACCTAGAGCATCCTATTCTTTCCCCTACAGTAGGAGTAAATAAACGAGGCCTACTTTCCATTATTACCCATTAGGTACAATTTCCAGAAGCACAAGAAACATCAGTTTTGATGGCTCAGATTATTCCGAGATCCGAGAACGAAAA